ATCCAAGTAAACTTACTGGGCGATACGACTCACATTTAAGTGGGTCCTTATTCTTCTTAAGGAGTACAGAGATCAAAGCTTGCGACATTGTTTGGGGCAAAGCTTTTTTATCAAGAGCTTCCATAAATACTCTGCAAAGCAAGGGTATCAGTTTGGGAGCAAATGTTTTGTAAAACTCACTTGGGTAACCATCAGGGCCCGGCGCTTTTCCTGTCTTCATACTCCGAATTGCTTTGTCTATCTCCGTGGTCGATATGGGTTCCTCCAACCTATCTCTATCAGCTGCCTCTAGTGGTGATATTTCAAGGTTTTCAAAAAAATCCTTCACTCGGTCCCTATCATTTATTTCTGAGGTGTACAAGTCCTCATAGAAAGATTTAAATTGATTATTAATACCCATCTGATCTATAATTTTATTACCCATATTATCTCCTATCTCTAGTATCCTACCAGCAGTTGCTGATTGTTTCAGTTGGTAGCTCAGGAGTTTACCAGCGCGCTCGCCATGCTCATACAGAACTTGTCTTAACCTAAGATATGAGTCCTCCTCATGCTGACTTGTCAGGATATCATATTCAGTCTGGAGCAGAATCCTTTTTCTATGCAGCTCCTCTAATGGAGTCATAGAATTTACCCGGTCAACTTCTTTTATTGCTTTCATTAATTCTGTGGTACGTTTCATTTTTCTTTTCCTTTCACCAGCACTGTATGAAATGATTTGTCCGCATATATACGCTTTCAATGATTCCCATAAAGTGCCACTGCTTATATCAGAAGTATCGTTAAGATCCAGGAAAAAAACTATTTGCGAATTAATCAATTCTTTAAAATCCTCATCAGCCAATAATCTACTATTAAGGCGCCACATCCTCTGAGGTGGTGTATGATCAGGGAATTTAAGTTTCAGTGTGACCGGGCTATGGTCAGATAATACTATACCAGGGTATTCTACATTCATTACCATAGGGGTCAATTTGTTGTCTAACAAAAAATAATCAATCCTAGAATAAGTTTGGTGTGGCGGGGAATAGAAGGAGTACTGTCTGGCAGTCGGATTTGCATATCTCCATGGATCAAATATACCATATGTTTTACAAAAGGAATTAACGCATTGAGCAGATTTACTTAACACATTAAGTGTTGGGCTAGAGCGGTCCAAAGTTAAATCTAGGACACAGTTCAGGTCTCCCCCCAAAATCAGATTATTTGTGTCCAAATTAGGTAGTAGTGAAAACAAATCCTTAAAAAATGTAACATTATCCCAGTTGGGTGTGTATATATTTGCCAACACTACCAGCATATTGAATAATTTCCCAGCTACAATAACATATCGACTGTGTTTGTCTTTTATGGCAGATGTTTCTATGAATTGTACATTCCTGTGTATAAGGATGGCCACTCCTCGAATCTTACTATCAAAATTTGAATGGTAAATCTGATCCCCCCCCCCCCCCCCCCCCCCGACACAGTTTGAGGTGATCCCTGTTTAACAGGTGTGTCTCTTGCAAATATACTATCTCTGCTCCCTGGTCTCTTAAATACAAAAAGATCTTACTCCGTTTTGCCGGCTTATTGATCGCCCTTACGTTCCAGCTCATCAAATTTGTGCCCATTCTGCTCACATCCACGTTTGGTGCCATGCCACGAGTCCACAGCCCAACATGCCCACTACGCTCCTATGCCGTCCACTATCTGGATCACACCCTGAGGACCTGGCAGCTAAAAAAAAGAAAATAAAAGGGAGATGTCTGGGAAAAAAAGGGGAAGCAACACACACACATATACAAGTAACATAACACAGTACATATAGAAACATGAACCCAAACGCAGTGCTCTTTAACAAGCACTCTCGTGGGCAGCCGGTCCACCTTCTCGTACACACCAAGCCTACCGTGTGTGGCTCCGAGCAAAATATCCCATGGTTCTAAAAATATAATATCACCCCAGTAGGGGGAGCTCGTAACAAAAAAAAAACCTTTCAGAAGAAAATACAGTAATGCAAAAATAACTTGTACTATTGGCGGCCCTTTAGCTCCCCCCTCTTTTCTTTCATAAATAGTATAAAGCAGGGCCACAGCATTTCTTAAACTAAATATTCAAATGTAAAGCAAGAGAATGAGATATTACTTTGTCAGCATTGTAAAATCTAACCAACAATATCTTTCCTAAGAGTTTTAAGTCCTTACACCAGTGTAGACCTTATACTTAGCCAAACTCAGACCAGCCCATATACTTCACCCAGAGTTCAGTGTCTTCTTGATGAACTCCATGGCTTCTTTTGGGCTCTCAAAAGTTTTTGTTTGTCCTCCCTCTGGTGTAATCATCAGTGTTGCCGGGCAACGGAGCCCATATCTCCTCCTTCTCCATGTAGTAGTGGCATCTCACCACGAACGCTCTCGGTGGAGCCCCGGCGCCGTCTCGTCTCGCACCGAGTGTTCGGTGTGCTCGATCAAGCGTCGGTGTCACTGATAGCCCCAGTTTTTCTTTCAGCAGTCCAGCTATGAACTCCGATGGCTTCTTGCCTATCTCAGCCCCTTCCCTTACCCCCACGATGCGTATGCTGTTGTGTCGCGATCTCGCTTCGAGATCTTCACTCCGTCTCCTCAGCTTCAGTATCTCCTTCTCCATTTCCTTCAGTTTCATCTCCATGCTGGTTATACTATCAGACTGGCCGTTCAGCGTGTCATCCACTTCTTTCTTCCGTGCTTCCATCTCGTTAGCCAGACTGATGTTCGACTCTAATCAGCCTCACCTCCTCCTCACAGAGCAACTCAAATTGAGCTTTAGTGTCATCTTCCACTGTCTTAGCCCACTTTTTCCATCTCGGCTTTTGCCTCTTTTCTTCCTTTTTCTATTTCCTCTTTGCATCTCATGATCTCGGTTCTTGTCTCATCTCTGTATTTTGTAATCCCAACATTCGTTTTTTGATCTCAGACATCATGTCTTGAGCCCACTGAGGCATGTCGTCGGCGTGTGCTGAGCTAGCATTAGCTTTGCTAGCCGCGACGGCAGAATTGCTGTCCGCGTGCAACTTTTCCACGCCGGCACGGGTCTGTCGGTTGGACATTCTCGATCCTAAATTGTCCCGTGAGCACCTTCGTTCACTTCAAAGCACGAATCGCAGTAAACGAGCTCCTCAAAAATGGTAGCAAACTGACAATATCACTATTTTGACTACTTTGCACGGAGCCTCCGCACGCACGTCCTCACACGGCCAAGCACATCCGGAAGTCCTTCTCTTCCTGTATGTGTTTATGTTTAGGGTCCCGTCGGTCTGTCTGGTGATTTTCATATCCATAAATGCTATGCTGCCTTCTGTTTCTGACTCGTAAGTGAATTTTATGTTGCCTGTGTCATCAATGTTATTTAAGTGTTGTGTTAGTGTTTCTGTTTGTCCTGTTGGTATGATTTCCAGTATGTTGTCTACGTAGCGTTTCCATAGTTTTATTTTGCAGTTTGGGGGGCGGTGGCTATGGCTTTTTGTTCCAGGTCTTCCATGAAAAACTGGCACAGGGTGGCTGATAACGGGTTACCCATGGCGAAGCCTTCCAGTTGTTTGTATATTGTGTTGTCGTATGTGAAGTAAGTGGAGTTAGTTACCAGTCCTATCAGTTGTGCTATGTCATCTGCTGTGAGGTTTGTTCTTTTGTGTAAAGTCTTGTCTTGTCTGATTCTGTTAACTACTATGTCTATGGTTTTTTGGGTTGGTGTTTTTGTGAACAGGGATGTGACGTCATGTAAGATGAGTATGTCGTTGTCTTCTATTGTAATCTCCTTTAGTTCTTTTGCCAGTTCTGTGCTGTTGTTGCAGTGTTGGTCTGTGTTTCCTAAATGGACTGATTATTTTGCTGATTTCCTTTGCCATGTTGCAAACAAGATAAAAATAAACCTTTTCTGTGTTTTAAAAAAGAACCAAAAATAGAATGTAGTCAGCATGGTCGTGGCACAGTGAATAATGGTGAAGGCGTTTTTCACCCGAGTGGGACGACCCCCCCTTTTGAGACTCCATCCACAAGCATCAACGTGCCGAATGTGGGCTCCTCTTACTACTCGATGAATCTTAAGCAGAGGGGGAGTGTGTAAATCGACATGGTTTTGAATACTCCAAACCCAGATACTGCTTCATGGACTGTGACTTTGAAGATGTTTGTGTCGGAGCTTCTTGAGCTCCGGGTTTCAGATGGGTCTCTTGGGCTCAAAAGAGGAATCGGCATGGGAGGCTGGACATGGAAAGCAAATATAGGTACGTCGCCAAAATCATTCAGAGATTGTTTGAAAAGAGGGAAAGTAGTTATAAGCTGAAGGGAACAAAAGTCTTCAAAAAGCCCAGATTTAGAACCAGAATGAAGGAAATGAGTATTTTGGTGAATGGTGTGAAATTATGGAATTGCCTGGACAGAGAAGTGAAGAACTCTAAAAGTGTTTAGAGATTACATCAGATTAAGTGTGGTGGGTGGATATGAATGTGAACAATGTATGTGGCTAGAATTGAAATAGAAATTATCTGAACTAACATCAGATTTTAACCATAGGCCCTATCAAATAAAAATGTTTTAACCCTAGTCTTAAGAGTAGACAAGGTTTCTGCCTCACGGACTATAGCTGGGAGCTGGTTCCACATGAGAGGAGCCTGATAACTAAAAGATCTGATTCAAAAGCCTTTGATGCATAAATAAAACCCATGAAATCTGGAATTATGCTTGTTATAAAAATCTAAAAACTATTTCACAATGCAGAATAATTTCTGTCCGCATCTTGATGCATTGATTTTTTTCCTCCTGTCCATTGTAGCGACAGTGGAGGAAAACTCCCTTAAACAGGGGAAAAAAACTCCAACAGAACCTGGATCAGTATGAGCAGCCATCTGTCACAGGTCACTGGGAAATGGGACATTTTAAAAAATACAGTTTATTAAAAAGTTCCATATTCTCATTTTAATATCTTTTTTTTCTGGGAATCGGCTTCTCTGTGAGACGTTAAATTGTGTGAGTTCTCATAACCTTTTTGCCCTCGCTAGTGTCAGAGCTGACATAGGCTGGCCTCCTTCGGACATAGAACAGCATATCATCCTGTCGAGGTGCCAACTTCTCCATGAAGTAAGTGGAGAACATCCAGGTCCAGAAGACGATGCGGTCATCTTTAAAACAGCCTGCGGACACATAACAAAGCTCATTAATAATTAAAGTTCAGACGTAATAAGCATGTTAATAAAAATAAACACATTTTACTGTTATAGAGCTATAAGTTTGTAGAAAAAAATTAATACAATTAGATGCACCATTATATTTTAGCAATTAAGATTATTATTTTCAAAACTTTAGAAAATGTAATACAAACAAACTGCAGAGTCAAATTTAAAATTCAATGCTGTAGTTCTTTTTTTAAACACAGAGCAGTTTTGTTTACCTGTTTTCCCGCTACGTTTCGTTTGCGGCTGCAAACTTCTTCAGGCTGATGCCGCAAACGAAATGTAGCGGGAAAACAGGTAAACAAAACTGCTCTGTGTTTAAAAAAAGAACTACAGCATGGAATTAGAGATACGACACAGCAAGAACACACCTAAGATGTTCAAATTTAAAATGAATTTAAGGGACAGAAATGTGAGACGTAGCAGATGGCTGCTCATACAGATTCAGGTTCATCCTGTTAAAAGGGAGATTTCCTCTCATTGTCACTACATGCTTTCTTAGTATGGGGATTGCTATAAAGCAGGGGCATTCATTCTGGGCCTGGAGGGCTGGTATCCAGCATGCTTTAGTGGTCTCTCTGCTTCAACACACTTCAACACAGTAGTTGAATCACCTGTGAATCAGCTCATCGGGCTCTGCAAAAGCCTGTTAATTACATGCTGATTGAAATCAGATTTGTTGAAATGGGGTTAAAATGAAATATTTATTTGTACGAATATTTATTTATTTATTTTGAGCAGGGACATTAATACTTCAATTGAACCTGAGCAGTGTCCCGGAGAAGCACCAGAAACCACTCTTGTAGCATGTGAACACAGCAAGCCAGAGGCGGTTTTACCATTAGACATAGGTAGGCGGCCGCCTGGGGCCCCCTTGTGTTGGGGGGCCCTAGCCCTGACCGCCGGCACCCCTCTGTTAATGCCACAATACTCTTATTACCAACCAGTGGCCGCAGACGGGATTGGACATGCACACTTCTCATTACCATAATTCCTGAACCGTTCAAGATATCATTAAAATTCCAAAAGTGCTGAAAAGATTAAAAATGGGGCTTTTCGTGCATATACAATACTTTACGGTAGCCACCGGGATTCCCTGTCTTGAACGCAATGAATCACAACATAGATTCAGAGACGTGCTGAGTTTGTCATCCAAAATGCTCTGTTTTATAACTTTTGAATGGCTGATCAGATCCCAAAAAATTCCAACGGTTCCTAAAAGTACATAAAAGCAGCTTTCCAACGATCTATAGCAAGAAGCAATCGGAGTTAGGGAAAATATCGCTACGAGGGGAAATCCTGCTGTACAGCCTGGTTGAAACGGAGCGCCGCACCATGGTGGAAGCGGATAATGGAACGGGGAAGCTAATTAGCATAAAAACCAGCATGAAATTATGGAAATGCCTCAGAGAAAATCAACACGATCTATTAGGTGTCCCAGAAGGCTCATATCTTAAGACAGTGACCACGAAGGACAGATCTCCAGTGAACCAGGGTATGAATGTCTGTTCAGTCTTTAATTTTTTTATTTGAACAACCCTCAACTATTTGCTAATTGTAAGATTCAGCTTCATTCCAGCATTATTTATCTTTTTACCATAATAATTATTTTTGCTAAAACAAAAGTTTTTGGTATAGCAGCACGGTGTGCCAGAGAAACACCCCATGGCAGTGTGAGGTGCGCTCTGCCTGCAGCTGGAGAGAAACTGCTTCAAGGTCTACCACATCAAATAAAAACGTCTGAAAGTTTACAAAAATAAAGTCTTAAAAACTGCACAAACTGGAAGTGACTGGTAGTCATTCCACTCCAATCCACTTGGTGGCGGTAATGCACCAAATTGTTGTTTGCCAAGTGCCATAAGACCACAAATAATAAGAAGAGAGGCGGGAGCGTTCGTAACAAACTCAAAGCGATAGTCAAATCATTAAGCATGACATGAAGTTATCCTAGTGGCTCCAATAAGAGAAAGAAGCAGCTTGCTTCATAAAAGCTTTTATTTTCACTTCTGAAAGTGATGTCGTTTTTCGATGTAAACATCAAAAAGAAGCAAAAAGTAAAGACAATGGAAAATGTTTCAAGGGAGGAAAACATAGACCAAAATGGAAAATAGAAAAAAAATAACTAAGGCTAAAGTACAGGAGCACCGACAGGAAAAAGAAAGCAGAGCAAATATTGAAAGCGCTCAAAGGGAGGGAAATACAGGAAAAAGAGGAGTACTAATAAAGAGAAAATAACTCATGTCAGAAGAGGGGGGAGTTTCGCAAATCCAGTTAAAGGTAAGATTGTCGAAAATTTAGTGTAAGGGGCCCCATGTCTGTGTTCGCCTAGGGCCTCCAAATTGCTAAATCCGCCCCTGCAGCAAGCAGGGCGCAACAGGGTGAAGAAGAAGAAGACAAGGCTGCCAACTCTCACGCACTGAGCATGAGACACGCATTTGACCCTCTTCACATGCTCTCACGCCACACCTCCATTCTCACGCCAAACCAGTGCCTGTACTCCCAAAACGCGCATCACGCACAGTACATAGGGCTTACGAAAAAAACAACCTTGATATTACTTATAGCATTATACTGAACAACATGCACACAAACTTAATAATTTAACCGTTATTTCACACACAGAATCCCATCTGTATAATCCAAGCCGGTGTGCTTTTTCCGCTCTGGTTGTGAGATGGACGGAGCGGTGAGCTCCACCTGCTGTTTGTTGATGGGACGGGCATATGGAGCTAGGATTGGGACAATATTCAGCGTAACTTGTACCAAGTTTTGTAACTTGGAACATGCTTCATCACATGTAACTTTGGATTCATAACTTGTAACTTTAGTTTTCTAACTTGTAATTCTCAATTTGTACTTGTATTTCTTGTTTTGTAACAGGAACATTGTATTGTGTACATGTATTTTTTTTTTTGAAAAATCAAACTTTTATTTTGTACATTTACTACTCATTTTGTAACATCAAACATTCATTCAGAAACATGAAACTTTCGTTTTGTAACTAGCAGACTTCCATACTGAAAAAATCAAGGTACAAGTTTGAAATCAAAACTCTCAAAACACACATTTCATTCTACAGGTACACACCTCAAATCTCCAGTTACGGATATTTTTGTCTCGATGCTAGCGTCAGTGGGAGGAACTTGGGTGGAACCAATGAGAGCACGAGTCTTAGCTACCAATCACGTTTCTCGAATTCCTGTCCAATCATTGGGAGAGGAGGGCAGGGTTCTGTCAGAGCATAGGACACGGAATGCAGAAGTCACGTGGTTCATGGAGCTTCGAATAGTTCCAAACAGCCCCCGCTGCTGCACTGACTGCAGTTCATTTTCGGTGTTTCGGAAGGATTCTCTCCGGTAAGTTGATGAAATGTCATCATTTTGCTGCATTGTGAAGCGTTAGCTAACCGCTTCGTACCAAAATAAGCCAACAATGATATTTTATGTTGCCAGTTTTAGCTAGATAACCTTTAATGAGCTAACTGTGTGCAGCTTGTTGGTTGTGAGCAGGAGGACGAGCTGCAGACGGGTTTCTTTCAGCTTGTTTGATTCTACGTTTTAAAAATATTCCCCACAGTTTTAAATAGGTTATAAACTTTTTACATTATTTGTTTTATTTGGGATTTTTTGTACAATACGTTGCTGTATCAACACGAACATGCATCAGAAATGGAAGCACAAATGGAGACCAATAATAAAGAAAATGTGATTGTGAAGACGAGTAATTATTTAATATTTTTCAGTTAATAACACTGACTGCAGCGAACTGCTGAAGCTTGAGACAAACAGGATTACGAACGTAAGAAGATATGTTCTTCTGTTTTGTGGACTCAAGTAATAAGAATAAAATTACGATATTTCAAGAATAGTAGTGGAACACAATAACTTTTAAAAATTAGACATTTTCCATAAAACTGCTCATTTCCACTTGCTTTATAATAATATTAGCATTTGCAATTTTGTTATTAAGGAATGACAGGAAATAAGAATTAACAATAAATAAATGTCAAAGAGTGACTAAAACAAAAATCTTATGTAACCATTAAAGGTTAAACTGTGTCATGTGTCCATCTTCATGTTTTCATCGTGGCTGAGCGGAGAGCTGACCAGGAACAACGGTGGTGGCAAAACCCAGTTGGGTCTGTGATGGAGTGATGCACGCCTGGAGTGATTGCCATCTCATCCACAGTAAGCACACACTCTCTTTCCATCTCTGTCAGATTTTAACCTTCAAACTGAGCATGTCACACACCTCTCCTAACACACCTGGTTCCAGTTAATGGGCTGCATTTGTCTGTGCAGGGTTCTAACATCAGGCAGAGGGACACTCATGTCCTGAAGAAACCTGCAGCCTGTTGAACCCACTGAAAAACAGAGTTGTACGGCCTTTTTGATTGTCTGTTTCCTCCCTTAGGTTTTCCAGCTGGGTTCCCTGGCTGCATGGCCTGTTCCTTTCTCCTCCTGGCCCTGACGCCGGCTCCTCATGGCTTCCTGGGATGTCCCTCTCTCCTGATACCATCTCATGTCCCCCTCACTTTCCCTCATCTCATTTGCCTCACTGCTGCTGCTGCTTTCCTCTTTCTCTGAAATTATAATGGCACTGTTAGAATAAAGAATAATTTTTAAATAAAATAAATACAAATGTCTAATATTTCTAAAGATTCGTACCACAGTTTACTTGAGGTCGTCATCTTCCTCCGCTTATCCGGGTCCGGGTCGCGGGGGCAGCATCCCAACTAGGGAGCTCCAGACCGTCCTCTCCCCGGCCACCTCCACCAGCTCCTCTGGCAGGACCCCAAGGCGTTCCCGGACCAGATTGGAGATGTAACCTCTCCAACGTGTCCTGGGTGGACCCGGGGGCCTTCTGCCGGCAGGACATGCCCGAAACACCTCCCCGGGGAGGCGTCCAGGAGGCATCCTGACCAGATGCCCAAACCACCTCAACTAGCTCCTTTCGATCCG